GTTATCACATTGTTTCGACCTTCGATCCCATTCAATTTCGCCATCAATTTCGTGTTAATTTGATTTTATCGCATTCGAATGTTTTTATCGATATGCCGGCGTTAGTGTTCAGATATGGTTGTCTGATAGACGATTAACCATTTGCGAGAAATACACAGGTTTTATTGTAAATGTAGGCCTACTGAGCAATATTTCTTTCAGTATGCATTAATCCTCCATCGGACTTTGGGAAACCAGAAAATTCTGTGTCGCTACGATAATTCAGCACCTATGAAGATATACTGCCCAATCGTGTAAAATATTGACTAACCGCTTTATCAGAATAATGATATGGATATGAAGAGATACTCAGAACTATTAAACAAGCACTGGCAATATTTGAAAGTATAAAACGGTCTTGAATCTCGTTATTTGACACAAGCCTCCTGTCTGTGGACTGAAAATTACTAGAACAGGTCAATCGGTCTGAGTAAATATCAAAAAGATAATATATTATTTAATACCTTAGGGAATATATTAGACTCACAACTTTTAATTAACTTCGAGGACCTTTTCCATGTAAAGTTCTATAGGCCTATGGCAAAGTTATTATTTAACGTAAGTTTATATCGATGTATCATAATTTCAGAAATAGCACAATGGACAAGTGTATCGTTGACGCTGACACGGTCATACTAGACTGGGCAAAGAAGTGGTATGATGAAAATATGAAGAAAGGACTGGAAAAACTTCATAAAGGTGAGAAACTGGATTGGGAAGCAATCAACATTGACCTTAAAAAGCAGGTGGGTGATGACAAGCTTCGCTTGGTGCCCGATGAAGGCGCAGATATTGAAAGGGACGAAAAGATCAGCGATGAAGATGCTTCCACTGGACCCAAACAGCAACGCGCCTACGTGCTGTTCCGCTCCTGCTTCAACAACGACACATGCGGAGATCAGGAACACACTCTGAGAACAGAACGCAGAACAAACTCCACGTGCCAAGTGTCCATTTCAGAAGGATGTAGAATCGGCGGAGGCTTCAGTTTAAATGTCCCAAACCCTGTGATTGAGGCTAACGTTGGTTTTAGCAAAGAACTGGAAATTACAGAGGGGAAAGAAACGACTACCGAGCGCGAGTTGACGTGGACCCTTGACAGCCTTATCAAAGTCCCCGCCAAAACCAAGATCACTGCAGAAATGCAGGTGAAGGAAGCAGAATACCAAGGGAAATTTGAGCTTAAAACGTATATAAGGGGACGTTTTGAAGTAGTCTTGAGCAAAAACGGCTGTCACCTTGGTACAATCAAAGGTTCCAATCTGAAGAAAGTTTTTACCAAAGAACACGGTTTCAAGGAGGACGCAGCAGGGGTGTATATTGTAACACGCGGTACCTGCCACTTTCGATACGGCATTGAGCAAAATTTGCGATTGTATGAAGAAAAACTTCCTGGCTGGGAGGACCTGAAGAGGAATAAACAAGACTAGTGGCCAGGGCTTATATTTTATTACAACCTGGAGCGTCGACATATATGCATGCTGCTTTACAACGCTTAGTTCACTGCAAGCTAGAAAGAACTGTCGGAACGTTTGTAGAACATTCGGTACATTTACAAAAGCATATTAGCCTTCGCCTCTGCCAAGTGGAAAGGATTTATTAATGTACGTGCATATGCATTCTGACAAATGTATATCCAGGCAGTTATCTTGTATTAACGCTCGTTTCCATTTCTAAAACTAAAGAATAGACGCTTATGTGTTACACAGTCGACAATTGGAAATTAAATGTGGTAAGCTTTTTGCTTTTCGATATCTGTTTCACTTCGAAAATGCACTGATCTTATGATTGTAGTGAAAATCCAGAAAAAAATTAACACGACATCCGACCATTTCGACCTCAGTTAAGTGCTTTTCACTTTTGATTGATCGTTCGTGTATTGACATCGAAAACCAAACATCAATTTATTTGATTATGAAAATGTGCTGATGGTATAAAACAGACGCGAAAACCTTGTCAACCATCAATATCTCAGCTGTTAAATTACGAAATTCTCTCTGGGATTTGATTGTCTTTCATCATTGATTGTGCTAATGGGATTAGAACAATCCTTTTAGAATTCAAGGGTCATTGCCGCATAAATTGCATGTGAACAGTGCAAATGTTAACATTCGTAAGCTATATGAAACGCGAATGCATGCTATGAGGAACCTCTGGGGGTTTACTCCATATCATACAAAGTCAAAATGTGCGTGACTCACCAAACGCATTCAGGACGAAAGTGGAGCACAGCCAACGTCTGAACACAATCATATTGCCCTGTTTTTTCCCCTTTGACATACCGTTTTTTCCCCATAATTTTGAACTGTAAAAGGTACATTTGACAAGACTAAAAACTGGATCCATTACCAGACTTAACTACAAGGGCTACAGACAAAGGTAGTTAAAAAAATGAAGGATGTGTTTTTTTAATAAGTGATTCAGACCACAAATAAAAGGACTTTATGAAAGCATTTTTCAATGAATGTAGTATTATGAACTACTTTTTAAATCTTTAGTGTTCAGTAATTGACTGAAAATACCAAGTAACATATTAATAAAAAACACAAACACACATAATATATAATATCTATGCTTTACTACACTGTTTAAACAATAGGGGTGTCAAGACAACAATACTCAATCCAAATGAGCTAGGATATAAAACTGCAGTTAAACTAGATTAACTATAGAACTCATCACAGTAAGAAAAAGGAGGATGACAGTTAACCACTGTCAAACTTCACATAAATGTTTAATAATCAAAATGTAAAATAGCAATTGTTAACCAAGCATTCCATATTAATGCATCTTTCTAAAACTTTTTACAGCAGTTATTGGATTTCTTTACAAATGCATGAAAAATGTTCAATTTGCTATGTTCATCACATTTGTATTTCATGTCTACCTCCAATTTCACCACCTACTAGCAAATGGCAAAGTGCATTTGCTTGGCTGGCAAGAACTTTTTATTCTCTACAAAAACTTGAGCAAAGTATTACTATCGTTATTTAAAACTTATTGTTTATAACATACTTGGTCACTAATCATTATCACAGGTAAATATAAATAATACATCCTTGTATGACTACTGTAACAGTTTTTATAATGCTGAATATACATTGGATAAAAAGCTACCTTGTACCAGGAATCACTACAAAATATTAATAAACTGGATAAAAATTATAGTTATTTTCATGCTGTAGGAATAAAGGAAAAGGTAATAATGTCATGTGGCCTAGCATATCTTTTAGCTTTAGATATAAAACATGTTCTAAGCACCAATTATTGAAAAACAAGAGTTGATCTACAATACTTTTACTGGTCTTGTTTACTGGCCTATTTAAAATTACCACTAAAGATATTTTGAAATCAGTTTCACGTGACCAAGAAATTATCCACAATTTCTCATAAATAAATTTAAACAATGTATTAAAATTACAGGAAAATGGAAAGTATGACTTGATTTTCCTCTATATACAAGCTACCACTGACTCTGTATAAAATTAACCCACCAAATCCATCATTCTGCTTCTGAATGATAATGTTTGTGGTACTTAGAAAATGAAATTCTAACATATTTTTATACTGTCTTCTTTTGGTCCTTTCATTGGTAACATAGATACACTGTTAACTTTGCCTAAATAAAAAATAAAATAAATATTATAAAATACAAACATGATTCACCATCTAATTATTTATTTACTGACATAGAATATACAAATATTTGCAGTGATTTACATTATCATAAAATAATCAGATAATGTATAGCTGCGGTGAATAGTTCATTGCTATAGTTCATTATGTTTATATTGCCAAGAGTTCACTATACTGATATATTTTAATTTATTTATTTATTTAATGATTTGATAATCAAGTTACCATTTTTATAACAAGTATTTTTATCATCTCTTAACTAATTGCAAAATTGAAACTTTGCAAAATATAAATGACAAATTACGTTATTCTAGATTTGGTTTACCTTTTCCACCTTTGTATAACTTTTTGGTTCTGGTTGTATCTCTTTTCCACTTAATTCACTGCATTCCTTATCATCAAACACCAAGTTATAGCGTAGTCCATTCAGAGTTCCACCTTTCATGGTCACCACAATTCTGGCTTCACTGCATAAATAGATATGTGCAATATGTGAGTTTTCACTGGCTTACACAGCATGATAAAATATCAATATAAAACTTACCTAAACTGGCAAACTTACTGATTTGCAGAGTACAACATGGTGACTTAACATTAATTTAATATAACTTAATCATTATCTGTGATGGTTTGAAATGGATTAGCTGCGTGAATATTACATTTACACAATAAACTTTTAAAAACTGTAAATACCTGCCCTTGCACTCTAAACTTGATATGTCAGCATTTTTTGCCTTTTCTCCACCAAAAGTTTTCTTTAGCCCACTGGCTGGCAGTAGATCATCTATGGTCACCGGGATTACTACGTAGCTATTCTTTCCTTTTGTTATCATATGGGTGCCTGCAAAAACCCAAAGGCCTTAATCCAATACTACATGTAGCACTTCTTTGATTTTTAACAGAAATGATATTTTTGATTAAAATCTAAATAGTGCATTAAATTATTTTATTTTCTTGAAATTTCATACAGCTAAATATGCAGTATTTGTTGTTTTCTACAAGATAATAATACACAGTTCATCACAATTTTAACACACACACACACATATATATATATATATATATATATATATATATATATATATATATATTTAGAGTGAACACAATGACAACATATCTGACAACAATGTTTACATCAGATAACACAACCACTGATAGGTAGTCAATGCATATTTAGTTTGCTGTGTGTATGTGTGTGCACGTGTGAGTATACTGTTGTTTAAATCTTTCAATGAGTACTTCATGAATGGGTAACTAAATGAGAATAAAGTTCTCATATAAATCAGCTCATTCTTGTTATCATCAAATTTCGTGTAATTTAAAGAAGGACTTCAAAAGTCATAGCTACTTCATGGCCTGCAATGGGCGACTACAGACTTAAAATTATCTCTAAGCATCCACACACTGTTACACCCCCTAGCATTACTACAGTACAAAGCATTGTTCTACAATGGTAAAAAGTTGATCAACATATACAATATATAAAAGTTTTGATTCTTTATTTCTAAAATTAACTGTACATGTAAATACCTTGACCTGAAGGTGACATATTTTTGGAATCAACATTCAAAAACCAATGAAGGGGAGTAGCGATGCAAGGACGTATTAATGGGGGTAACATCTTAATTATACCAAGGAGTTATAACTCCTTGATTATACCGGGGGGAGTAACCTTGTACGTGGGGAAGATGATATTCTTCATGCATATAATGTATCTCCCAAACTGAAATCTCATAACTGTGTTTGCTCAAAATCTCATGTATCACACACTAGTTTTGTTGAAGAATACTTCAGTTTGAGGTAAGTATAGGCGTTGCCGGTTCATAAACGGGTTAATATTTATTTATTACGTTATGGGAGTAGCTAGGGGTCACACACTTATACATGTGTAGCTGAAAAAGTATATCATTGCTTAACTTTAAAAAGAGGGCAGTGGGAATTACCACCGATTATGAAATTTAATCTGTGTGAAGGAGGGTTCTGCAATGTTCAACAAATATTTGCTGTTACTGATACCCTTGTACAGTGAAAATAAAGATATGATAACACTGCCAAAATGTGACATATGAAGTACATCGATATATTCAACAGCCAATTTAACTAGTTCATCACAGCTGATTGTGATTTGTTAAAGTGGAATGTTAGTATAATCCCTAGAATATTAAAACTAATGCTGGGATCAATGGACTTACTGTAATTCACATCAGCAATTGTTTTCTCACGCTCCCCTACGTCTGCCATCCTTTATTTCGTCACGCCTAACTAGGTATAGCTTCACGTTAAATTGTCACCTTGTAAAGCTGATGAACATAAAAAGCCACGTGAAACGACCCTTATCACTTGGCTATCATAATGCAAAAGATAGACCAAAGTCAGTTAAAAAGTATTTTAACAAATCTAAAATATTTCACGGTTCAATAAAAAGAGGATTTGCTGATTGTAGTCAGGAGACATGCCATATCAGATCCAAATATGGTGGCCACGCGCCATCTCAGGCTAGAGATCGGCTGTCTTCTCGGGCCACATAATTTAATACCAAAATGCTTCTGTCAAAGTGAAAATGCGCAAAACCAGTTATTATCATTGCCCTCCACAGTATATCACGTTCTAATCAATGCTGTACACAGGACATCTAATACAGAGATTGTTTTGATATTTCAATAAAATTTTTAGTCCAAGACCATAGGGAGTATTTACAACCAGTTGATCTATGGACTAACTAGTCCATGGATCTAATATGGTGTGCAATTGAAAGCAACCCACATAATCCCTTACAATAATGTGATGGATTCCCTGCCTCTCAGCAGGGGCAGAACAATGAAATCTCGACACATGCTTTCAAGTGGGTCATGCCAAATTTAAACAGGTTGTGAATGCTCCCAAACTCTGAGAAGATAGATGCAACACAGTTCAAACCAAAACATTTAATTGTCACACCTCGCCAAATCTGTGAAACACCGTGAAAAACAAAAATAAATTCTACATTCATACTATTAAACCATACTCAGTCTGTCAAACCTGATGAAAATGCACAGAGATGAGAAATAATTAATACATACTAGGCTATCTTATCTATAATTTACAAATTGTCAAACTTTCTAGTGGATTGAAACAGTGAGAGTAACAATTCATGAATGCCATTGTGTGGAAAATGAAGCATAATTTATGCAAAAGACAGCCTGACTTATTTAGCCAAAGTTTTTTTTCACCGACTCATTTGAGTTGTTCTTTAGGTGGGTGGATTTGCTGGAGTTGTTTAGATATTATATATATGTTAAACATGTTATGTAATGATAAATTATGTTTAATACAGTATTAAGTTTTTTCTCTGTGTCATTTGAAAGAGTTACTTTTTGTACATGGTGTTCCACAGGCAAGTAATAAAAAAGTACTCTTCATCCTCCAGACTTATGATGTGGTTTATAATTTTTTTCAAATGGAGTTAATTGGTTAACTTTCAGCATGGCAACCAGCTTCAATATGCAGATTGTGACTACTGAATTTGTTATGATACGAATACATAAGTCTTTATAGTTTGTGTAGGAGCTGCAGCAAAGAGGCTTTGGATTCCAGCAGAAGACATGAATGGCAAGTCCAATGCACTAGTAATTTCAGTATCTTTGCTGGTATCTACTCTGGTGTCCAAAATATGCATTGGCACTCAATATTAACCGCCCCATTTCATCTATCAGCTACAAAATGATTATTTTCATTTTTCAGTTTAACAGAAATACAATCAAGATTTTTTTCAAGGTTTTATTTGACTATCATCTTAATCATTTTCACTTAAGGTACAGCTGAATATATTCATACACATGAAGATAATAACAGTGTAACCACCTTAAATAATTTTGTCTATTTTGAGAGTATTACTAGACACCACAAAAAGGTTACATGCATGAAAAATATAGGAATTAATTTTTCTTACCACACAGGTGCTAATTGCTTTGTTGGTTTTACCTGTGCACAGTTTTTGATGATATTAATAAGACACTGCCACAAAAAGACACAAAACAAACAAACAATGCTCATGCATATACATAAGCCTCAAAACTTAAAGATACATATAAAGCATGAGTGGACTACCAGTAACACAGATACACCACTTCTACTTGTTTCTTACACAACTTAAATAAAGTTGACATGCCAAGCATAAACCAAATTAATCTCTCGTTAGCCAAAAGAGTAGCTTTGAAACTGCAACTTTTTCAATTTTTGGTCGTCCTGTTCATGAAGGTCAGTTAAATGACAAAGCACTGTGCACATATTGCTTTATCATCACTCTTACTCCCAAATGTGGATGTATAGCTGCCCGTGCAATTGCACTTATTCACATGAAACTGCTTAGGAATATTTACAGCGCAGAAAGAAAGCAGCAAAATTTGTTACTATATAATAAAGGCAATATGAAATAATGTCCTTTGGTATTTATCTCAGTTATACTACTTGATACTATGTGGCAAAAATTGGACATGAATCTCTAAATCAGAAAACCAGTTGTAATCATGAAACTTGAAACCAATCATTTTCCCTAATGTGTTAAAATACTTTAAAATCAAGTACCACAACCATGGTCAAGAATCTCAGAAATTCACCTATAATATCATATACATAAATCATATACTTAAATCAATGCTTAGCAATAACCTGAGAACCTGAAAACGTGCAAGTAGCGCGGAAAAGAAGCAAACTTAACATATTGCAGGAAGTAGATTTCTAATTTTTCTCATGCCATTGGGCTCTGTAGTCATAATCACCAACTTGAAGTGAAGGATTGATGAGGGGATTCCTTTGTCAGAGCTTGAACAACAATGTGGAACCATAAAAAA